CGTAGCGTCAAAGGAGGAGTAGAATGAGCCTGCCCCCGGCTGCCTTGGTATACCAGTAGTGACTGATTAGTGATCGATTCAGAAGGAAAATAACCAGTGAAGGAAACGCCGCGGGTGGGCTCATATCATTCCTATCAAAATCGCCCCCCCCCCACTGATTGTGATGTTATCAACTGTATGTCATCTCTCAGTGCGTTCACGTGTGGCATAGGTAAATAAACAAACTAAATTTTGGCTGGTTTGCGCTCCCGTTAGTTTGCATCGCCACATCATCATTCCCATTCCCTTTTATTACGCACCGTATCCCGAAAATAGGGAGCAAGTGGCCGCATACTTTATTTGAAATGTGGGGTGCATTCTGAGGCTGGGTTTATACTCTGCGGCAGCGTCCACCAGCGACCAGCAGTGTCCACCAGCGTTCCGAGCGTCCGGCAGCGTCAGCGACTAGGAAAGTATAGATATCGATCTAGCGTCTGCCAGCGTCTTCCAGCGTCTATCAGCGTCTGCTAGCGTCCACCAGCGAGCAGCAGACTGCTGGTAGAGAGTATGGGTGGATAGGAGGGTAGAAGACAGCTGGTAGAGTATAGGGAAGTAGGAAGGTAGCAGACTGCTGGTAGAGTAAGGGGAGATAGGAGGGTAGCAGATGGGTGGTACCCTCCTAACGCCCCTTACTCTCAGTCTGCTGTTGATCGCTGATGGACGCTGGCAGAAGCTAGATCGATATCTTCTGACGCTGCCAGACGCTCGGGACGCTGGTGGACGCTACTGGTCGCTGGAGGACGTTGTCGCAAAGTATGAACACATTTTAATGGGACCTTTCCGTTTGGCGCACCTGTCATCCCGTCATGTGCTGGCGAAAGACACGATTACAATGTACCAAAAAGAAGGTAATAGTCGCGCACATAGCCACGCCTTCCCTATCCTCGGGATATAAAGTGCACAACTATTTGTCGATGGGGAAAATTTCTGCTAAACACGACCCCCCCCCCCCTCGACCTCTTTTCCCACTGCTTAGTTCGCCGCTGTCTTACGAATTTCTCTCTACGCACCCTCTACAATGAGCTCAAATAATCCCAAGCTTATGCCGACATGGCTTTGTATCAGCACCTGTGACACGGAAAAGCCGGCGAAAGTCAACTATCAGAAAAAACTTCTGCGCAAACGCAAAAAAGTTTTGGTGAAGTAGCAACGAACCCCACGCTCTCTCAAAGCATGAGGCAGTTACGCCGCCCCTTCCAATGATAGCATTTTGACTATGGATAGCGCGTGCGAAACCCAAAAAGTCAACAATATTTTTTCTCGGGGCAAATAAGACCCCTTCCCGGCAGCGCGAAATCGACATCCCGTCGCGTGGGGATTTCCCGAGCGTAAAAGTTCGATAATTTTTATGCCCTCCGAACCGCAGCCGGCCATTAAATTCCAGCTCATCACCTGAAAACCCACTGAAAGCGATGCTCATTCCACGAAAGTGCATTCAATCAAAAACTCAATACTGACGTTCATTCCCCGAAAATAAGAAGGAAATATGAGAGCAGTTCTACTGGAAGAAAGATGGGAGCCATTTCCTGCGATAACAAATCAGAAGTAATAGTATGGATGGGAGAGATGTGAGGGAATAAAAGGCTTGAAATCGACCAACTTGCACTGGGTGCCAATCAAATTGGTCCGTCGTAGAATTGCACGAGCTTGCGATGAGGTCACATTACGCAGATTTTCCTGATTGATTCGGACGATGTAGTCGCCAACCTAAACGACACAAATTAGCCTAATGGGGTAGTCCCTGGGCCAATTACATGAAAAAATAAAAAATAGAAATAATGTGCAGAATTTTTTGATGACCTGAATTCTGCCATCCAGACTGATAGCTTTTTTGCTGCAGATGCTCTTCACTACCGCTCCATTCACACCTTTGTCCTTGTCGCTCATCCAGAAGCAAGATGCCTGGAGAAGAAATGTTGTTCAAGCGCCGAATTAGGACAAGAGCTCGTTCATGGTAAAAGCGTGGAATAAAAAGTCAATAAATTGATATAACTATTTCATATTCAGGTTTTCCTAAGACTGGCATCAACCCAATCTACGATTTTCTAAGTAGCTCAACGTTTTCTCCTGTTAGTGGAGGAGAGGGTTGTGGTGAAGAAGCGGGATCGTACCGCGGTTAGGAGAGGAGGTGGGTGGGTCGTATTGATGTTGGTTGAATACATTGCCGAAAAGAGTTTATTTCGTACCCCGAATGCATAAAAATGACGCACTCTGAGGCGCTGGCGGCATTTACTGCACGATCTTAACGGCGCGCTGATTGTTGCTCACCAAAGCGACATAAATTTGCATCGCCGTTGTCCCCTCCTTGTCGTCTTGTTATGAAGGTTACACGCGCTAAAGCTCGCCTTGGCCCAAATTGGACCGCGCCAATTTGGCGCCACCACGCTTCTTTTCATCGAGACGGTCAAGGCAAACGCTACAAAACTATTTCCTGATCAGCTTTGTACCCACTGTAAGGAATGAGGAGTTCACTACTCTATACCGAAATCCAGCCGCCTCCCAATACAATTTTCTGCGGCTCTTCTTATCACTTTCGACCTATGGCTACATTATCGACAAATTCGAATTTATGACCAGAATTTATCAAATTTCACTTATTTCGAGACGAATTTACTGTAGTCCTCACGGCGCTCTTTCAGCGTACCATAGCAGCTTTCAGTTCAGTTTACTGCGCAGTTCGGCTCGGGGGATATTCAGAGCCCATCGAGTCACAACAAGTGGAAATCTGTGAAATCTTGTGAGACCATGAAGTGATACCAGTAAAGTTTGTAGGTATTACAAGTCAATCCTAAAAAAGAATCCTTGTCAGCTTGTCAGCTCTTGAAAAGCAAGAACACGTCGATTTAAAATAGCGAATATTTAATATGCCCCCAAGCCGTACAGCGCCCGGTTTTATTTCAACAGAATTTATTCCAGAGAAAATTGCAGAGAATCGATCGCAGCGGACTGGCAGGCGCTGGCAAAGAGCCACCAGCTGTTTTCCAGAATAAATGAAGATGAATTCGAGGGATATTCAGATTTAGAGGAATGAATGAATGATGATATCGATTTCTCGAGAGAACAGGAACAGCTACTATCTTCCCGGAAGAAGCTGGGAGAGAGCAGTAGCTCTTAATCAAACACATCCCAAAGGTCAAAGTCTCCATTACAACGTTACAAATTACAGGAGCTCGATGTACAGCGAACGTGGAATTCGTTTGGGTCAATTCATCAGATTTCTTTCGCTGTTGATTTATGAACCTTCAGCTGAAAAAAGCTGTTCATTCGCTCGAGATTCATCTTTTGGGCTCGACAGCGGCTGCTTTATAAAGCAGAATCCGATCAAGAAGAATCAGGAGGGCATGCTTAATCGGTTTACCCTCCCTTTTGTCTGCGTTTAGTTATAAATTTCAAACGATAGAATCTAAACAATTTCCTTTTTCTTCCTTTGTTTTTTGTGTTACTAACAGTTGTGTTTTCGCTTTAGATAGTGCACTCTATGTGCTAACAAATAAATAAATAACTAAAAAAATAGTGGAACTTTTCCAGGTAAAAATAGCCCTGGTCCACTTGCGAGCTCCGAGTTGATGGATGAAAAGTAAGCTTTACACCTGTGTATAACTAACCAACGAGTAGGATCACCAGTTCGATCGCGGAGATCCTCCCAAAAAAAGATAGGGCCAGAGAAGAAAAGGTGTTGAGAATGTTTCCATAGAAACTATTGAGAAAGTAGGTAGGAAAATACCGAACTACAGCGGTATGTAACAGAAATAAGTTGGAATGAGGGGGAAATAGAAATTGGTGTTTTGAGGCTCTGCTGACCATACTGCACCCTTCCCACTTGTTTCCTTTACCTTGATATTTCATGCATGCACGATCGTTGTGGAATCCAGCCAGGGGGGGAGAGGGTGCTACGTTCGGCAATTGGAGAGAGAGGACGTGTTGGGTCACTGAGAAAGAAAAAGCGGTGCTAAAGCCTTGGAGAGGGAAGGAGCATTGAAAGACCTGGTGGTGCCTTGTTCCATTTTTGCACGAGCCGTCCTTTAAATGCCCTATTAGCAGAGCAATGCGCATGTCGGGAATCTCCAACGAGGGGGTAGGGTCGTATTTGGCCTGAGAAATTCTTTTTTCGATATTCGGCTTCTCGATTTTTCCTGTTCCAATTTATGTGTGCTATGTACCTTTCCCCCTTGCGCCCCCTCCCTTTCTGGGGCGAAACTAACTAAGAGAAAGTGGGAGAAAAGTGGGAAAATTCAGGGGAAGATGTTGCTCAGAATAGGGAATGGTGAGGGAAGGGGTACGGAGAGCGTGCTAGAAGGCGGAAATTTAAGCGGGGTTGTTTTCTTGCAAGGATTTTCCCCAACCGCACAATGTACCCTGGTTATAAGCGCCGAAAAGAGATATTCGAGATTTTGAGTTTTTACTGAATTTTTCCCGCTTCAGCGATGCTATATGTATTGAGGTGAACACAATGAGAATTGAGAACGGGTCGAATTATGCAAACATGCGTCACCGATGCGTTCACGCAGGGTTCGTTCAGCCGCCTAGGGGTGGCTAGTAAAATGGGCGGGCCGGATCGCCTCCCCAGCCGCCGAACCCAAGTCTCGCGTCTTCTAGGTTAGGCTATCAATGTAAAAAAACAACGAACAGGCTAAAATGCTGTCTAATATCACGCGGATTCGTTGCAGCAGGGTAGTAAGCCGATCATCGCACTGAATAGGTCGTCACAATACTGAGTGAATTAGAGTGTGTGGTGGCGCATACCCGAAACTGGTCGAAGGGTCGTTTTTCCCTTTATGCGAGCGATGCTGGTGCAAAATGCGCTTTCTCGAAGGGATTAATTGATATCTAGAAAAGGACCGATGCGGAAAATAAAAATCAAGAATGGTCAGGGTGACGCTAGGGGATCAAAAAACTATCAACATTGAAAAAAAGATCAAAATCCAAGGAATGGAAGTGGTTCTTGAAAAAAAAGACTTCGACACCCTACGAACAATAGGTCTCTGAGACACTCGCTGTGTATATTCAACTAAGAGGCGATGGTTCGGCTTGAGAAGTTGGGGGTGGGGGGCATTTTGACTTTTGGTTCCGCCCATCGTCTATGTTCTTGCTTGCGAAAGTTGATGAATGGTCGCTGGCTCCTGTAGAATCTCACATTCGTACTACTTCACTTCATCAAGATTTCACAAATCTCTACTCTCGTCACGTCGATAGAAAGCAGCAAAAAAGCAAAATGCTCCCCTCCTCCCCCCCCCCCTTAAGCCGAACTGCACCCTATAAAACAAAAAAATGTACCTAGTTTCTTAGACTCTCCCTTGAATATGTAGCCCAAACTAGAGCAATCAATCGACGGTAAAACAAATTAAAAGTCGTCCTCCAGTAAAATGAATCAATAAGTCCGAAAAAAACAATTGAAAGGTACCATACCTAACGGAAGTGCTCCTTTTGTGATTTTCACATGACGTTCAAGATGTGTGGGCAAATAGACGACATCATAAGCCCATGAACCTCGTAAAGGAAGCGGTGAACTCGCAGGTGACAACGAACGAGTCGAACATGGAGACCACGAGGTCATCGAGACGTCCGACTGTAACTAGAGCGTTTAATATTATTTTAAATTTTTTTCGAATATTTTTAATTTATGCAGGTGGAGTTTTTTCGAACAACCACCAAAAAACCAAAGAAGCAACAAATATAAATGATCAAGAAGGTGAACAAGAAAGAAAAAGGTAAACAAATAAAAATAACAAGAAGAAAATATTCTCCATGGGTAAGTACTCTAATAACTTGGAAGTATATTGAGTTGTTCTAGTGATGCATAACAGTTCTTATACAAAAATTGAAATTTTTTTTGCATTAAAGAGATTATTGGAAGAAAAATTCACTAACTAATTTTCCTTGCTTATTTACCTTGTTTACTATACCGTATTTATACCGCTTATTATATTAAAATGTTAAAGGATAAAGTCTCCACCGTCGAAATCCTATTGTGGGATGCGGCACGCATTTGACTTCCATTCAGAATCATTTATTGGAATGCGATGTGGCCTATACAATGACTTGCGGTGGCCAGCCGATGTACAAGTCAGTGTTTTATCCTCCCAGACGAATCTGGTACCAATTTACCGTCCCCGGAGGGTAGAAGGCTTGGTTGGCCTGGGCGGGAGTCGACCCGGGATTCGAACCAGGACCGCGCGAGTGGTAAGCGCGCCACTTGTCACTACACCACCTCCGCCTTACTATATGGTACCCCACTATGTTACCCTACAACCTGTTGACAAAAAATTCTGATATTTTCTGACAGACACAGGAAGACCTCAAACTTTTTCCTAGCAAAAATGAAAGAAAAAACGGAACAAGTGGTCAGGCGTGCGGGAGGGGGGGGGTACAAGTTGCACATTTGTTACTACCCATCGATGTGTCGAGCCTTCAAGTGATTGAGAAAATTGTTTAGGCTGCGTTTATACTTTGCGGCAGCGTAGCGCTTCCAGCGTACGCCAGCGGCAGTGCCGAAGAGAGGATGCATATCGATCTAGCTTCACCAGCGTCACCAGCGGCACGCTGGCGTACGCTAGCGTGCGCTAGCGGCACGCTAGCGTACGCCAGCGGCACGCTAGCGCACGCTGGCGTAGCGAGGGCACGGGAAGCATAGCTATCGATCTAGCTTCACCAGCGTTTCTCGAGCGTTTCTCCAGCGGCACCAGCGTTTTGCTAGCGCTTGCAGCGGCAGGGAGTAGAGACCATGTGGCCGGCAGAGACGCGGAATCGACGTGTATTGTAGAGACTATGGGGCCGTCGAAGACGCAGAAGCGATGTGCATTGTAGAGACTATGGGGCCGTCGGAGACGCAGAAGCGATGTGCATTGTAGAGACTAAGGGCGAGTGAGAGACGCGCAATCGATGTGTTT